TTATTCTTAGTTTAAATAGTAAGATATACGTTACTAAAATTTGATAGGGTTATGGAAAATTCTTAAAACATTTTTTATTTTTATATACTAACTAAAATCTATGTTTTCATCATAGTTCGAAACGGGATGGGTACAACTAGTATTTTTTAAAAGTCGTTTTTATATTTTCAAAAAATGCACTTCTTGCTGCATCGTTCGTATTACTCCAAAATCAAAAGGAAAATCAAATTTTTCCAAGACAAATTTTGTTTTTCTTTATCTTATTTTACAACATGTAACCATTTTTAATATCAATATTTTTTGGTTTTTTGAAAATTTAACCGTGCTCATTCCATCTTTAAACTATGATGAAAACATTTGGTCTGTGTGTCCAATAAAAAAAGTTTTATCAATTAAAAATACCCATTGCTTCGTGTTCCGCTGAATTTAAAAATATTTAAAATGACAGTGACCATAAAAGATGGTGGAAAATTGTCAACAAATTAGGGGTCTCATTTTAGGCCAATACGAACCAATAAGTCGTTAATGACAAGACCATGAAATAGGTGTACACATTTTTTTAATTGTTAGAGGGTTGGCATGTGGCATTTAAAAGTATGATTTTCTACGGAAGTATTTTTTTTTTAATTTTGGCCTAAGCGTTAGCTCGAAAACACATTTTCTTTTACTTTAGAAAAACACTTGGGTGTTGCGGTGTGGATTTCCATTTACACTGTTTACATAAATGAAAATTTACGAATCGTGTTTTGCACGTTCAAAAGACGACAACAAATTCAAGGTTTTAAGAAATGCATGGCCATTCCGCCTTATTGACGATTTTCTTAAATAATAAACAAAACGACCTATGTGAATAATTTTTGGGTTTTTTATTGTACAATGTTGTTATTTCAAGGTCATTGTAATTTTCCCCCCTTTGGTATGACGATTTAGGGATGGGTGATTTTGGAATCTCTTATTTTAAATTATTTTAATTGTTAGAGAGTAAGGGTTTTGTATAATTTTGCACATTGGCACATGCGTTTTAAAAGTAAACGAAGATTTCAAAATATGATTTTCTATGGAAGTATTATTTATCGAATTTTCGCCTAAGCGTTAACTCGAAAACACAATTTTTTTACTATAGAAAAACTCTTGGGTTGTTCGATGTGCGTTCCCAATTTCACTGTTTACATAAATGAAAATATACGAATCATTTTTTACACGTTCAAAAGACGATAATAAATTCAAGGTCTCAAGAAATACATGGCCAACCCGACTTGTTGACGATTTACTAAAAAAATAATAATTTATGTGAATCTGTTTTGGTTTTTAGCTTTGATGCGGAGCTAAGAAAGGTTGAACTTTTTCTGGCTATAATTTCTAGAAAAATAGTCGGATTGAGTTAAAATGTATAAAGAATATTTATTTTGTATGTCCCTATACGTAAATAGTTTCAAATTTAAATTATACCCATTTCCCACCTCCCTAGAGGTGGTTAAAGTTTTTTAACCGTATTTTTAAGACCTATTTTGAGGAAATAATTATATAAAAGATAAAAAAAAGTCAGTACTCCAGACTGTATATTGTAAAGCTTTAGCATACCACGTCTCGGCTTTTTTTTGGATCTACATAATATGTACATTTCATTATATAGATTACGTCGGCGTCTTACTCAAAGGTCCCAGTCCTAGTCCCAGATCCTGTTTGAACAGTGCAAAGTGTCCCCAGAGTCGTGGTACATAGAATCGGCCTGTTCCTTTTATCACCTACCTTTCGCTTGAGTATCGTGGTTACCATGATTACAAACCAAGTGTTTATATTGGGTAAGCAACGAAAAATATTTGGTATTTAAAGTAGAAATTCGTGTATGAGGCCATCCTTAGGGGTGGAATTTTCGAAAAGTACTATGCCAGTTACCTCCGCAGGAGTGTACTCAACAACTTACCTAAGTTTCATGGCTATCAGGTGAATGGATAAAGGTCACACACACATACATTTATTTTTATATATACAGATAATTTATAGTCTCGACATTTTGTAGTTTTACATTTGTTACGTATATAAGACAAATGTTAATAAGATTTGGGTGTTTTTAAAGATTTGAACATAATATGGTGAGCATTTTGTTTTTCTTTAAACACAACTTTTAGTTCTTTACTAAACCAAGAAAGGTATGATATATTATGTCTACGAATCTTAGGAATAAAATTGTTTAAAAGCAAAAAAAACAGATGATGTAAAATTAATAAGAAGTACCTACATTTAGAGTATATGCACGTTAAGAAAAGAATATTACCGTTGAACCGGATCGGTAAAGTTTTAAGGTAGGTAAATCATTTTTTTTTTTTTTACATTCAATTATTTTTCATCGATAAAGGCATGCAAATTTTCAATGACAAAGTCGGGTACGAGTTGTTCAGTTTGATTTTTTTTCTATGTGCAATAATATTAAGTATAAAAAGCCAGCACAATGGGATCGGGGCATAGCGGTACACGTTTTTATTTTGTGAACAACTGTTTTACAGGTGACGAGTAATCTTAGACATAAGTAAACCAACAAAACAGTATTTTACAAGGTGGATATTACAAAACGCGGTTGGATACTTTCTAATATAAGCAAATCGGGATCGTTCTAAAAAGTTCATCCCTACTCATTGAAAATCGAGAAAAAAAATAAAAAAATAAACTTATCGTATATCTTAAACTTACGGCGAGCAGTTTAAGTATAAAAGTATATCTTTTACAACGATAAAAGTAAGAGAGACGTATTTTGGCACAAGTGTGTATCTTCGCACGCGTTTTTCATTATTTACATAAAATACAACCTTGCGGTTTTGTTTGTACATTAAAACGACCGAGAAACTATTGAAATAAATAAGTTATACGTAGGTAATGTTCCAATAATAATTTCTACATAGAACTAGGGAAACCAACCCGCTAAATACACAACCAACATGATTATACTGTCCAACGCAATGAAGTGATTAGTATGACACTTAACTAATCTATTGCTCGTAAGAAATGATTCATTTGGGATATTATTTTTGATAAGTGTGTATTTTTTTTTATACCTCCGATACAAGTTCTAACTTTCTAACCTTACACAGTTATGTGATCCGGTCTATCCGGTGATTACCAATCCGGTTTTTAATAAATAAATTCGGAATTTTACAGATATCATTTAGTACCTATAGATAAGATGTTAAACTTCATAACAATAAAAAAACCGAGAGCAGTACAAACCAAAAAAAAAAAAAATTGAATTTGTGTAAACTTAAAGTCAAAAGTGGTAATTGAGCACAAAACTTAATAGTATTATTCTGCATAGATCTACATAAAATTGTTTTAATGATTTAATACATTTTTATCAATTGTGTTATTGTTAAAATATACGCAATCTGCGAAAACACAGTTTTCGGGCAATTCAAAAAAAATTGTAGTGCCGAATTTGTTTTCCGTTTATTATATTATGGATACATATGGGTTCTAACTACTGACAAATTTTCAACTTTAAGATCTTAAAATTACGGCTAAAAAACTAAAAAAACTTGAACCCCCTCTAAAGGGTTGGGAAATGGGTTTAATTTAAATTTGATACAACTGACGTGAGCGGACATACCAAATAAATATTCCTTATACATTTTAACTCGATCCGACTCTTTTTCTCGAAATTATAGCCAGTAAAAGTTTTAACTTACAAACTCGTACGGTTTTTTTTATTTTTTCAAATTTCAACTGTGAAGAAGTAAACTTTTTCAACTTGTACCACACCCCTCCCCCCTCAAAGTACCAACTAGATAAAATTTGTGATTTATAGAGTTGCTATTCGAAGGAATTGGTCCAGTATTAAAAAAGTTACAGTGTAAACAGATAAAAAAAAAAGCCCACATCAGAGTAAAACCAATACCTTCTCGCTTTGCATCGAAGCTAAAAACTATTTGAAAAAAAAATGTTCATAGTGTGACTACTGCCGTTTTTCCCCTGTGCCCTTCATTTAGTCCTAGTTTTCTCTTATAGTGTGTTCTAAATTTTCCATAATGACAGTTAAATTCGTGTTATCCAGACATCAGCGAAATTACTGTGTGACCACTTTTAAAGGAATAATACACGAACGCTATCTATACAGATAATACTATTGAAAATATCACAATGAAAAACATGTCTACTTTTAAATTATTAATTTATGGAAAGGTTTTGTTCATTTGTTTACTTATTGTACACACCTTTTATCAAAAAATGCACCAATGCACATTATAATCCAAAATTATGGCTATTTCGTGAACTGTTTTGGCGTTTAAGTCTGAACAATTTCCGACTTGAGAACATTTTAAACTAAAAAATAAAGAAGCAAAGTGGGGTCAGGGCTCGTAGAAGAAGGACAATATTTAAATTGTTGTTATTCACAATTGGTAGATAAATATAATGTTGTAAATTGTAAATGTTTATTATTATTTACAATCAAGGTAGATTAGGTAGCTACAGTAGTAAGCTTGCTGAGGTTGATTAAAATTCTAACTTTACACAGTTTTGTGACCCTAACCATTAACTAAACCGAAAGCCGTCAAATCAATTAATTCGAGATCGTTTAACAACTCAAAGGTCTGGCCAATGTTTTAGATTAAACATAATTAGCATAGGGCACTTTGTTGTAAATTATTGCAGAAAATAATTAGTTAATTCTAATTGATTAAAACTCATCATTATATAATTTACGCTATTCGAATTTTAGTATTTCAATACTGTTACAGTTGTTTCAAATTTCAATATTTGTAACCATTGAAACAGTTTTTGTAAGACCATAGTAAAATAAAAAAATAAATATACTATTCCGATGAATAATATATTTTTTTTTATTTAGGAGTAGTGTGTAGAATAAAATAGTCTAAACTACGCTTTCTAAGTAACGTATGTACACGATAAATCACAAAAAAAAAAAAATGAAACAGTTATGTAAATAAATGAACATAGTTACACTACAAAAGCCTATTAGAATTCTGATTTTCTGGTCGAAGTATAGGCCCAACCACAAGTCGCAAGCAGTACATTTAGTTTCAAAAGCTGAACAAGTCGATTGTTTCCAACAACCCCATACGAACTCCACAATTTAAGTAAGTGTTTTTATTAAACTCTTAAATGTTTAATCATATAGTGTTAAAAAAACCAGTACAGTGGGGTCGGTGCATAGTGGGGACGGAGCATAGTTGGGTCGGGGCATAGTGGTGACGGGGAGGTCACAGGTTTACAAGAATTTTTAAATCTGAAAGTGATAAAATCACTTTCGAAAAAACGCTTCGATGCAAATCGGTAGTTAGTATTTTCAAGCCAGTACAGTCCAAACCAAGCACAGTATAAACCAGCAAAGTTAGAAAGTTTAAAATGAAGGTTCTGTATTTACAAATGAGCATCAAAGCGTTAATTTGAAAGTGATTTTATCCGAGAGGACTAGTACAGTAGAGTATTGGCATAATGTAATCAAAGCAATGAGGAAACGGACAGGTCACAGGTCTACAAGAATTATTATAAATAAAAGTGATAAAATTGAATAAAATCGCTTTCAAATTAACGCTTTGATGCTCATTTGTAAATACAGAACCTACAGCGATTTTATTCAATTTTATCACTTTTATTTATAATAATTCTTGTAGACCTGTGACCTGTCCGTTTCCTCATTGCTTTGATTACATTATGCCAATACTCTACTGTACTAGTCCTATCGGATAAAATCACTTTCAAATTAACGCTTTGATGCTCATTTGTAAATACAGAACCTTCATTTTAAACTTTCTAACTTTGCTGGTTTATACTGTGCTTGGTTTGGACTGTACTGGCTTGAAAATACTAACTACCGATTTGTATCGAAGCGTTTTTTCGAAAGTGATTTTATCACTTTCAGATTTAAAAATTCTTGTAAACCTGTGACCTCCCCGTCACCACTATGCCCCGACCCAACTATGCTCCGTCCCCACTATGCACCGACCCCACTGTACTGGTTTTTTTGTTTTATTTCTAACAAACGGTTCCTGTGTGTACAAACGTACCGGGTGATTGGTTAACTATGGACCAGTCAATAACTTAGAAGATATTAGACTTTTTTTAATTCTATTTTTAATTAAATTGTATTGTTATTAGTTGGGACAAATTAAATATATTTTTGAAAAATATAACCCCATCCCATTTATGTTAAAACCGTATGAACTTAAGAATTTTAAACGGTAACGTATACATTTTATTAACTTTTTTAACATTTTGACTGGCCGATAACTAGTTATGGATAATTTCAAGTTTTCAAGTTACTCAGGTTTAAAATTTAAGACGGGAGGGAGGGTGGAGAGTAGAGATGTTTTTATCTGCGCGCATTGCTCAACCACCCTTCCCCTTCCGTCATCAATTTTAAAATTGAATAACTAGAAAACTAATTATCCAAAACTGGTTATCGACCAGTCAAAATATTCAGCAAGTTATTCTTAGTTCAAAAAGTTAATCCAATATATACGTTACTATTTAAAAAACTCAAGTTTATAAGATTTAAACATACAAGGAACGGAGTTATAATTTTAATAAATATATCAAATTTGTCCCAACTAATAATTATTAAATTATAAAAAAAAAAGTAATTAAAAAAAGTTTAATATATTTTAAGTTATTGACTGGTCTATAGTTAACCAATCACTCGGTATATAAAATAAAATTCGGGCGGTTGCTTTAAATGATAAAAACGCATTATTATTATTTTTACAAAAAGTATAAACGGATATATTAAAATAAAACACGACACAACATACGTTGACTTAGACCGTATTTTATTATAATTTAACTATCTTAACATAGTCCGAGAGACTGGCCTGGTTCATTTAATTCTCTCGAGAAGCGTATGCAGCTCGAGTGATCCGATTTCATTGAATTAACATATTCACTTGGAACTTGGATGCTCTCGCCAGCAATTGGAACATTTAAGTAGTTAAACAGTAAATTAGTTAGTGTTTAGCTAAGGGAAGTCAATTAGCCGCTTCTTAATATCACAGCCTGATTAGACAGAACTTCTGAACGAACTTGTGTAGTCCTTCGACTAGTTATTAGGTAGCATTGGTAGAGGATCACCAAGTTAAAAAGGTATACAAAGTACAAACAAAACAGCAACTTAATTTAAGCAAATAATTATCATACGCTGAGTGAGCTATAGATATACCATTTATAAGTATGCGCGTTAGAAAAACATATCAGTTCCTAAGATGGATGACTGATTTGAATTAGACGCAAGTGTATTTCTTTATTAAATCTAAGTGATAAATTAATTTAATCTACAAGCTGCTGCTTCAACATTGTTGCTCCACTACAAACGAGGTACGTACACTAACATTTTCACACACATCACAATAATATTTAGCGTAATGGTTTAATTTTGAAGAGGATAGCTCCGTTAGCTTCCATAATTTTTCCCATTTACCCACACACCTTGATCTAAACCATTACAAATGGTGACCAACGTGGGCTTTTACCTCTCCTTTAACCATTATACATTTAAATAAAACAGTAATTAATACGGCGATTTATATAGGGAAAAAACCGATAATAATAATATTATTTATTTTATTTTATTTTATTACAATACAAACCAAATATGCTATGGGTTAAGTGTTTCTGAAAGAAGTTTCACTTCATCCGCGCGTACTCGTAACAAGCACTGTTTTTTGTTTTATAATGGTAATAACTATATTTCTAAAGATGTTCTTTTAAAACGGATTTGACATTCTCTCTTAAATGTTATCTTCTTTACGCTATTAACTCACTAATAGTTTCGCTTTAAATCCTTTTGGGTTGACTAAGAACCATTATGTGTAGTCAAGCTTAGATGCTTGAAAATTAAATGGATATAAAATGTAACTTTAATAACAAAATTTAGCTGAATACTTTTACCTAATTTCTATTTTGAATAGTGTAACCTAAGTTTTATATTATGCAATTTAAATAGTCAACAGACTTATTTTTATTTTTGTCAATCCTCAGTATAGTGAAATTACTGTAATTTTGGCCAAATAATCAACATTTCGATTTTGATTTCTATCTCCTATACAAAAAAATCAGTTAGCGGTCTAGGAAATATTGTGGGTCAAGTAGAAAAATGTTTATACATACATATGTATATATTAATCATATTAAAAACGGGTTCGCAGAACTATAACATTCTCATCTCTGAACCGGAGGTAACTGTGACTAATATTAAATGTTTTTTTAATCATTATTATTCGCAGATAAAAATGAAAATCTTCTGTTTGGTAATAACTTTTCTATTCCTTGTGGGTATTTTCGCAAATGATTATGGTAATTATTTTATTTTCACACTTACCAACTTAAGGTAGCTAAAATTTGAAAAAAAATTAACATTACACTTTTTTAAAGCGAAATATAATGATCTGGTGGGCCTCACAAGTCAGTAACATTTTTATTTTATAAACAAATGTTTTTAAAATCCACTGTTTTTATACATATTTTTTAAATTATGTATCACAGCTGCAGGCATCCGTTATACTTATTTTCAGCCAATGTCTGTAGAAGGTAGACCTGGAGCAAGTAAGATATTATATTTAAAATTATATATTAATACATATAGAAGCTTTGTCTTACCTAATTTGATTTAGTTTTAATATTTTAGTATAGCAAAAATCTTCATTTGTTTATTCTAGATGCAACAGTATCTAAGTTGGAGTATCTAATTGAGAAAATGGTTGATGATGTCAATAATAACTATAAATACCAAGAATTCCGTAATCATAATTATAATAATAATAAAAAACATCAACACAAGAGTAGAAAAAAATATTTGAAAATAATATAAAAACGTCATCTCCTATTTACTTTATGCAACTGATTAGTGTTATAATTATTATATTTCTCAGCGAAATTTGAATAGAAGCTTTATGAAAAAATACTGATGCTCATAAATAGCTCTATCAACCTCGTCTGATTAATATATTTTATTCTCATCGCCTAAACTGCATCTAATGACTGCATCTAAATGCATCAGTCTATATAATACAGTTTTTTCTACTTTGACTTTCGTCTTATAATTTATAAATATATATAATGTGATAACTAATAATTTATTATAGCAAATTCAATTCAATATCATTTATTTATTTAATGTTAATTTCAGGTAAAATTTGTTTTTTGTTGGCTGTACCGAGTAATAGATTTTGTTATATTTTATAAAATTATTTCCAATATTTAATTCCTATTGAATTCTCCAAAGAGACTCTCATCGTATTTAATATACAGTGGAGCATACTTCTTCCAAATTATCAGCGCACATGTTTTTTCTTCCTTGAAATTTATCTTCTTGTTTATAATAGAATATAAAATTAAATGCAATAACATACATTTTTGTGTTGTTAATTTCAGACGAAATAGAAATTCTCTTGGAAGTAGACGGTAATAATTTCTCATTGCACTTTATGGAAGCGTTCCAAACAGTTGTTTGATATTCTTTATGCACACAAGATTTTTGTTTTAATTTCAGAACCTCCACCTCGCCCAATTGAAAGTAAAAACCTTTTTTTATATATAATATTTATTATTCTTATTGCATATTTATTATTTATATTAAGTTGAGAATAATAATATGTACTTATTGACAAATACCAATATGAAATATCGGTTTCAATAATAAAACATATGTGGGTACATTAAAAATAAATGTACATTAAATGTAGTTTGTTTTAAATTATAGAAGCCAATCAATTCTTAGACATAATGCTTCAACAATTAGAGGCACTATTAGGTAAATATAAAAAAGAATGTATTTTTTAATTAAAAAAAAAAAATAGTTACATATTTTTTTATTTTTAATAAAATAATAAAATAAAAATTGAAGTCATAAAGTTATATACGTTTTATGTTAAAATTTTAAGAATTATTCAAAATAAAATGTAAACCGTTTATTTGAAAATCGTTGTAAGGTATAAATTTACATATTTCATACAATAAAATATTGCATTAATTAATATTGATCTAATTAACCTCAGTTATAGAGTAAATATTTATATATAATTTATATAAACCTGGTTTTATTAACTGCATAATAATTTGATGTTTGATGTGTTTGTTACAGGACTAAGTGACATATATTTAATTAATTTTGCTCGTAATTACGATTTTTTTTATATTCATTAATAGCCTTAAAAGCTTGTTTTAGATTTGATATTTGCTTAGTTTTATTTATTTTATTTTTTATGTCAGAAAACAATTGTAATAAATTCAACTTTTTGTTGAGGAGAGAGGTAGAGAAAGTGAGACTAGAGTGTTAATGTGTAATAATTTTTTGGGGATTTGAAGTATAGAAAGTGTACATTTGTTGAGTTTCAACAATAATATGTGACTGTACAAAAAGTTGGTTGTATCACAATTAGTGAATAATGTATTATTTATCTTTATTATTTCTCCGCAATACGGTCTTTTAATAATTATTGTTTTAGCCGGGGCAACACGTGAAGACGTTAAAAATATAAGAAGAGCATATGTTGTTTGGTCTTTAAGAAGTGCAATCACACGTCGTATATTAGGTAAATATTATTATGGAGTTGTATGGTTTTTAAACGCTATTAATATATATATATATTTTTTTTTTTTAAGTTATTTAATAGGAACAAGGATACAATTTATTTTACATTTTAACAATTAACTAAATAAATTATAACTACTTACACGTACATTCATGCAATACAAACAGCGTGGCTGTTCAATACGACACCATGCTTATTGTATTATTTTTTATGACTTCGTAATAACAAATAAAATAGTTGTGTCCTGCACAATAAAGAAAAGTAGTAACTAGTAAGCTAAAATGAGCATACTAAAAAAAAAATGTTTTCAATTTTTTTAGGTGCACCTGATGACGCCCCTATATTACCTAAGTGTCGTTTGCTAGCATTGTACTTGAGTACACAATCTCCATTAGCATACATAGAAGAAGTTAACATTGACCCAACTGGCCATACATGTATCTTCAAGGATAGACATCATTTCGAAAAGAGATACAGTAAAATCGGTGGCTCGTGGTCAGAAGTAGACGGAAATGGCCAATTCCGAGAAACACTCGAGACACAATTACAACGTATACAACCACAAGTTCCACCCACATCCTAACCTAATGTCAAAAAAACAGTGGCCTCCGTATTCTGTTCTTTACATAATATATTATAGTTTATCTTATTATTATCACTATATACACTATAAAATCAGAATTTTTAAAATATTATACATATATTTAAGCTGACGGGAAAACAACCGTCTTTGGATTTTTTCAATAACATATTTCATATAATACATTTTTTTGTACAGTAAGTACGTAACTTTATATGTCTATTTATGTGTCATATCATGTCTACCAATAAAATTAATGATTACCGAATAAGTAAAGTTGTATTTTTTCATCTAATCTATTCCAACTATTTATTACTGCTTTTAAATCCTTACACTTTATATTTCTACTTTTATTAAATTACTGTGCGAATTTGGGTGACAGGTTCATCGTTTATATTTCTAATAGATAATTCATCTTAATGGTTATTAAGTATTATATAGAGATTTGGTGTTAGAGGTAACATAACCTAAACGGAGTTCTAATGATGAGTGACTAAATAAAACAGTCTAGTGTATATTTTACATAAAAAGCCAGTTATGGAAATCCTGGCTGGTCAACCACAATGGTATTAGATTGACTTAAAATATATCATTGAAATACGAACAATGCAGGGTACGATAACTAATCCTACATAATATTTTAAATCAAAAAGAATGCCGATTTAAATTTTTTTTTCCAACGCATTGTTGTGTGCTAAATTCTAAATTTGTAAAATTGTTTTTTGTGGGCTACTACTCATGTTGTATACTTTACGTGTACGTGTGTACTACTTTGATATTTACATCGCTACGAAGATAAAAAAATAAGACACTAAAAACAATGAAAACTGACCGTGGTTTTGCACACAAATTCAAGGTATTTTATGTCTAACGCATTGAATAATACACAAAATCTGGGAATTAAAGGTAAATAATGTACTAGCGCATTTCATACAACAAAATTCCAAAGTACAAAATAAAATCTTACACATTATCTAGTGGAAGTCCGAATTTGGACCTCTGATTAAAGAATTCTGAACACATTGAAAAAAAAATATCGTTCTACTCGTTAAAATTGTTCTAGATAAAAAAAAATATATATATATATAATATATATATATACAGGGTGATCCAACTAACGTAAGACACTCATTTTCAAGGAAAATATGAATATTTTGAAAAAAAAATTTTTCCTATTCTTTTAGATATAAGTTTTACTACATTTTTCAATGCTTTGAAAACTTTTATTTTCATCCCTTATACGATAAAAAGCGTCTAAGTTCACGTTTTCAAATGGCAACATATGTTTTTATGTCCATAAATTTGTAGGCAAACAATTTTAAAATATGTTATCGTTTGAATTATTGATTTTTATCCATCTAGTCGTTAGCTATGACTTTGTAAAGATATTAAATTTTCTCTTAACAATTGTTATATTTCTATGGTTTTCCAAAGACCGGGGGCCAATAAAATACTTATTTATGATCGCATTGTCCGATAGATGAGTACACAGATAATCAAACACAATAAAATGTTTTGTGATATTTTGGTTGACCAGCGACTCATATTTATAGATAACCGACTTTTCTAACACACCGTCATGACAGGTAGGTTGACAGACCTATATTGAAAGCGGCTAACGAATGGCTATTTAACCACAACAATCAAAAACTGTGGTACAAGTAGGTTGAGAACTGCTGCTATGATGATAATACAGAATATTATTATCATTAATCTAGTTATCATAGTTTTCTACTATCTATGTTCTACATTCAACAAGTAACAGCACAGGCCAACAGATTATTATCATGCCATTATGAAAATTATAATTTTTATAGTCCTTATAGGTAGTAAACAATAGCTTTAAAATTTGGCTTACAATCTCATAAGTGCATACATTGAATGGACAAGCGTCGCGAAGCGTTACTATTATTTGTTTAATTATGTTCAATTTATTCAGAAGATGTTCTGTGCTCAAATAATTGTTTTAAACAATTTACACTAAATAAGGAATTTTGGATTTAATTTGCTTACTATTTTAATTCTACAGTAAATATTTAAAATGTTGCCTATTTTACATTTATAAATAACTTTTTATATAATCAACTTTATTAATAAAAAATAATGCAATAAAGTGGACTGTGTTTAAATGATTAAGTTGTCTAAAGACTAGATATTTGTAAACAGTGTTTAAAAAAACCTACAACAAAATCACAGTTAAGTTTGAAATTGTATTAATTATCGACTTAATTTAAGTCGGTAGTTCCAAACTGTGATTCAAAGTACTTTTACTTTTTTTTCAGTTTTCCACATTCTGTTGGCAAAAAAGATTTGATTTTTCTGTAACGGTAAATTTTTCAACATCATTGATATTTAATTTTTTTTCTAAGTCAAGTTATTTCTTATCAAGATCACGTTAATAAAAATATGGTTCAATAGTTTGTGACTCAATTACACAAAATCACACTATGATACTCAAACTTCAGAAATAAAGTTAGGGGTTGTGTCACGCAAACATTAAATTATCAGAACTTGTCTTTTTTATTTTATTAATAACTATTAAATTAAATAGTTTATATGTTTCTAATCTTTTTATTAGTACTTACTAATTATTATTATAACTTATAAAATATATAATGTTATAATAATAGTGATTCTAAAGCCTTTATAATAAAATATGTCTGTTACAAAAATTTAAAATTGAAAACTTAATTCTTTTACAGTTGAATCTGCTTATTTAGATTTTATGTATAATCAGTATTTTCTTATTTTTATTATTTTTTTCACTTTTTAATATATAGAAGTGCCAATAATAAATTTAATATCTTGGAGACGCTTTCATATTTAGGTGACTAAATTAAGGTACATAATTTGTTTTGGTTTAAGAAAAATAATAGTTCAGAAAATGTATTCTACTGTAAATATTGCTTAAGAATAATTCTAGTAACTCTAGTAGTAGAAGTAGTAGTCCTATCGATAACAAATTAGTTGATCCGGATTTTATTCCGTCCTCTAAAGTAAAAGCTCAAATTCCCGTGCCTCCTTAACGAAAGTTGCAATCAGATCTCCCATCAAATTCGTCTATTAAGAAATTATTAACTGAAGGCGATACTCTACTCCAAAGCTCCTCTGAACTTTTGAACACAACTTTTGGTAAACTAGGTGAAACCGACAGTTCTCTAGGGCAGTGTAGTAACACTTTGTTAAAGTCAGCCATGAATATCTACTGAAAAACATAACCTCAGCGCAAAGTCTCCAGAACCTCCTATTACACTGACATTTCAACGTCGTTCTCATAATTTCTATATTTTTACCGACCAATCTCGCAACACGTTAGACACGACCTCAAATTTCTAGGGTGCAAAAACACAATACATTTTCATTATTTTTAGGGTCTTATTTTTTTAGTTTTGTAGCAATGTAAATACCAAATCACGAGTTATGTCCATTGTGGCCGACCGGTCAGGATATTTTTTTCCATAACTTAATAAAATATTTTAAACTTTTTTTTATAACTGTCGATATATATATATATATATATATATATGTAATTAATTATTCTAAACGTTTTATTTAGTAACCAACATTTGAACTCCATTTAGGTTATGTTACATCTAACATCAAATCTCTATATAATAACCATTAAGATGAATTATCTATTAGAAATATAAACGATGAACCTGTCACCCAATTTTGCACAGTCATTTAATCAAGGTATACATATAAGGAAAGGATTTAGAAGCAGAAATAAATAGTTGGAATAGATTAGATAAAAAAATACATCTTTACTTTATCAGTAACTATTAATTATATTTTGATAGACATGAAATAAAACAGAAATAGACATTACAAAAATTGTATTATGTGGAATATGCTATTGAGAAAATCCACCGACGGTTCATTATCCGCCAGCGTATATATGTATAATATTTTACAATTTTATATTGCATATAGTGATAATAATAAGATAAATTATAATATAACATGGAATGAACAGAATATAGATGCCAGTGTTTTTCTAACATATACAGGTTTTAAATTATAATGGTAGACGTTCAAAATGTTCGATGTGGGTGGAATCGTAGACGTCCAATCTCATTTTGCCTTCATTATTATCGATTAAGATACATTTACGGTAAGTTAAGTCAATCTCAACTTCTTTTATGTATGAACGTGGTAATTGTGTACTCAAGTATAATCCTAGCAAACGACATTGAGGTAATAAATAGGCTTCATTATTCAAAGTTCCATCTAAAAAATTTGAAAATTTTGTTTTTTAATTTAGTGATATTAGTTTACTATTTACTACTTTTTTTTGTGATCTAGCACACAAATATTTTATTAGTTTATATGAATTCATAAAATAATACAATAAGCATGGTATCCGTATTGTACAGCCAAGCTATTTGTATTACATAAAAGTACTTGTTAGTAGTTATAATTTACTTGGTTAATTGTTAAAAACTAAATTCATTATTATCCTTGTTTTCATAAAATAACTTATACATAAATATGAGCCAGTGAAAATGAAAGTTGCGTAAGTCACATTTAAGTTGTTTTAAGAAATAGAAGGGTTTGCGTTTTGTATTTCTATAGCTTTGTATTAAATAACAACATTTTAGGTGGTGCTCTCTCTTAGAGTATGATTTTTTTAAATTTGACTTACGGCACTTTCATTTTCACCAGCTCATATAATATTGATAGCATTCAAACACTTTACAGCTCTATAATAATATTTACCTGATAAACGACGTCTCATTATCGTTTTTATAGCAGGAACAACAAAATCTCTCCGGTCGTTTGCAAGTTCTTTTAATGTTCCCAAATCTATGAAAATAATTATTATATAACCATGTTGCGAAGAAATAATAAAAATCAATAATATTTTAGTAGCTCTTTATGCATAATTAATTCGTTACATTACAAAGAACTGTAAGAAGAATTAACTTTTTGTTCAACCATTTTGAAACTCAACAAATGTATTCATTCTGTACTCGAAATCCCAAAGAATGTATTACACATTAACACTGTCATCACACTCTCTCTCTCTCTCTTTCCTCAACAATAATTTTAGTTTACTAAAATAATTAGTATTTGACATAAAACATTAAATAAATAAAATGTACCAAATATCAACTCTAAAATACGGTTTAAAGGCTATTTGAAGCTATCAAAATATTCGTAATTACCTTGTTTAATTACAGCAAATACAC